ACGCAGGTGACCGTGGCAACGCGGGGCTCGCGGCCGGTGGACAGCGCGTGTAGTTCCATGTTGGACGACACTATCCGCGTAGTCATCTCGGCGTCGGCGGCAACTCCAGCCCCACAGCAGCTGAGGGCGAAGGGAGTGTCGGTGTGGGCTTGGCTAGAATATACGGGGACCCCGGCGGGGAACAAGGGGTCTGGTTTGTTCTTGCATGGAGGAAAGAGGCTGGGAGAGTCTTACTAGATTTTGGGTGCGATGAAGTGAATCTTCTCGCAGCTCTCCGCGTAGTCATCTCGGCGTCGGCGGCAACTCCAGCCCCACAGCAGCTGAGGGCGAAGGGAGTGTCGGTGTGGGCTTGGCTAGAATATACGGGGACCCCGGCGGGGAACAAGGGGTCTGGTTTGTTCTTGCATGGAGGAAAGAGGCTGGGAGAGTCTTACTAGATTTTGGGTGCGATGAAGTGAATCTTCTCGCAGCTCTTGTCCGCCACGACCGAATCGTTAGTGGCTCGTGTATCTGCACCCAGAATGACCCCGTCCTGGGGAGGCGAGGAGAGGCCGTCTTAGTACCCGCGGGATTCCCTGGCCACCCCTCCAGCTTCCAAGTCCCACCCCGCTGCTCACTCGAAACACAAGGCCCGCGATGGTGGTCCCGGTCTTGCGTGCATGAGGGACCCGTAGTCCAGGGAGGACGCGTTCCAAGGAGGCGTTTCTGGAAACGGAGGCCCAGGTTTCGGTTTTGCTTCCTGGAAGCCCTGTCGAAGCCCCCCATTCCCGCCCTGGCCGCCTTCATTGCCCGGAGTATGTCTGGAAACCCCAGTCGCCCAATACAAGTTCCCCCGCCCTCACCCGGGCCCTCGCAGGGTAGCTAGGCACTAACCCTGCCCCATTCACCTTTGGCAGTTCTCGAAGGAGAAGCCCCCTCGGGGCTCTAGCGCTAGCTTCAGCATCTTGGGGCAGGCAGGGTGGTTTAGGAGTCAGGGATCGGATCGAAGGATCAGTCAGACAGGTGGGTCCAGTACTAGAATGGCCTGAACCGGAGCTTCTGACAGACCACCTCTGTAGCTTCCTGCTTTCGCTTTCACCTCCAAACTTCCTAAGAAGCACTAGCAAGCTACTTTCTGCATCTTGCCTTTCACTTTCACTTCTGGCCCTAAGCAGCTTGGGAAGCCAATGATGTCCATTCCTAGGCACTCCATGGTGCTCTTTGGGTATTCTAGACAGAGGGACAAATCCCCCTCCTGCTGGACATAGCTCCGCAGGGCTGGCGCCACCCGGTCCTCTGCTGGCCATCATTCTAGTCTGAGCTCCCAGCTCTTACTCCAAACCCCAGCTCTAGCATCAAGTCCAAATGCTCTAAAACTATCAGACTTGGCCAGGTCTCTGTCTGCATCGTTACAGCCTTCCAATAGCATTGAACATGGCTGACTTTTGTCCTTTGTCACTCTTCTCCTGACTCCTGCCTCTTGTGGCCTTCACCTCCTCCCTGAAGCCTCAAACACCAAGGCTGAATTCTCAGCCACAGTGAAACCAGTAATTTACAACTTCTGTCTCTCAAGAGGGGCACTGTGGCTGTCCATCTAGTGGCCAGGAGGCATATTCATGGCCAAGCCTTATTTTACCTCCTAAATTACCTCTTTTAAGTTGATTTATTTCTTCCATGAGAGAGAGACAGGCACCTCCAACAAGTCCCCCACACCAGATCCACCCTGTCTCTGCCTACCTGGATCATGCACATGCCTGACATGCTCAGGGCAGTCCTGAGGACTTTTCCCATGTGGATCCAGTTGTGTACCACTGCCTGGCCCTCAGATGACATCTATACACATCTTTCCTTTTTAAAAATTTGTATTGGACATGTGTGCTTGCCAGAGAGAGAAAGAGGGAAAATGAGAGCACCCCCAATGAGGAATGGCCATGCTGAAATACCTTCTCCATTCTCCTCTTAGGATTTTGGGCATGCATGTACATGTGACCAGACTGTTTTTCAACCTGCCAAGTCTGGGACATGAACTCCACAGTCAGTCATGTGGGATCCAGCTGCCTTGACCATCATGCCACTGCTTGGCCTCCAGATGGCCTCTTAGCTGTACATCTTTCTAACTGCTGGTCTTAGCTACATCCTCTCTTCCTTGGATATAGCAATGGCCTCCTAGCTCCCTCCCCACACCCATTTTTGCTCACTTCCAATGTTGGACCCTGTAGAGGAGATCTTTCTATAGTGAAATTTTGATCATGCTTTCCCTGGTTAAAACCCAACAGCTGCAGTACTGCTCTTAGGCTCAAACCTAGCTCTTTCCAATGGCCTGTGTTCTCTTCAGCTCCCTGGCCTCAGAGTAGATGCCACCTCCACTAGGACATCTTCCCTGATTTACAAAGCTCAGTCTTTTACTGCTGTCTATTTTTCTGTCAGAACACTTAGCTTCACTAATAATTTTTTTTATAGAGGCTTTTGTTATAGAGTGCATGCACTCGCCAGAAAGACAAAGAGACAGAGACAGAAAACGAGAAATCATCCCCCAGGGGGATGGCCACACCGCAATCCTCTCCTCCATTCTCTTGGGCATGCACGCACACATGCCCGGCATGAATTTAAGCCACCGAGTCCAGGGCTTGAACCATGGTCTACTACATGGGAGTTCAGCGACATAGACATTACGCTGATGATCCCATTAATTAAGCCTTCATCCTGGAGGCATAATGGTATCAAACTGAACTGCAGTGCTGGAAGCCACAAGGCTGTGGGTTGGGATCCCTGCGTTGGAAGATGTGCACATGGGCAAGATTCTGACAAGCTGCAATGGTGCAGGATAGGAAGGGGACAAAAGTGTGACAAGACCCTGTTAAGGGTGCTTCTCTCTCTGTAGAAGTGTATGCCATCATGAATAGACTTCAGAAAATGAGTTTTCATTAGTGAAATGATGTAATAGTTGTTACCTCCCCATATCCTAAACTCCTGTGCCTATGTCACCTACCCACTACCCACTCAAAAAGCTGTTTCATCTGGAACAAACAGATTTTCTACCTTCCTACATTCCCATTCCACAGCTGTGGGTGCAGCTGGCTCTGGTGCAGAGGCTGGCTAACTAGGAGAGTGGGAAGCTGCACGTCTTAGGGTACCCAGCTCTATCTCTGGCCTTAGCAGAGCCCGTGTTGCCTCATGCTCTACAGAACAGCCCATGGCTAGGAATAAGTGAATCCTGGTGTGGAAACCCCAGTGCCTCTTCTCAACCCACAACACACATCAGAGCTTGCATCAACAAAAGAAGGTCTTTATTCAGGGGTCAAAGGCCGAGGGCTGGCAGCTGGGGGTACAGGGTTGCCATGACGGTAGGCACCCAGCAGGATGTCATTGATGTGTTCCAGTGTCTGGTTGCTGAAGACCATGTTGAGGTGCTGTATCCTGTGCAGGGGCAGCAGGTGCACAGGCTGTGGCTGGGGGGCCCGCCCCCCGGCACAAAAGGCACACCCCTGTGGCGGCCGCCCCTGCCACTGGCTACAGAGCTCCATGCTACGTGTGGCCACTGTGTTATCACCGTCTTCATAGAGCACATCCAAGGGGTCCGTGTAGGGGAAGTCATGGTCATAGATATAGGTGCTGGGTGTCGGCAGGCCCACACCATACAGACAGTATACTTCCACACCAGGTGCTGGGAGTCCTGCCAGCAGGTCCCGTGACTGTAGCCACATGTACCAGCCTTCCTCAAAATGCACATCCACAAAGAAGCGCTGGTAGTCACGGATTGTATAGTTGAAGCTGGGTGTGGAAATGAACACATGGTCCTCAGGCCACACCTCCGAGGAGGGAAACATCCAGGGGGACGTTGTCGTTATGCGCTGTTCCTCTTTCAGTTTGATGCTGGACATGATGGGTATGCCCTGATTGTCGCCTGTGGACACGGAGCAAGGTAGAACAAACAGCCAGGACTGGCTACCCTGGCCCACAACGTGCCCCCAGTGTAAGCTCAACTCGATGCTCAATCTTGTTCCTGCCCACTCAGCGTGAGCCCACAGCCATAGTCTAGAGCAGGCCAGTATTCAGTAGGTGCTCGATGTGTGCTTATGGCCCTGTGTGGCAGCCCTGATGGCTTCCTGCAGGACAGAGCATAGGGGCTCAAAAGTAGGGCAGACTGAGGATGTGGGTGTGAGTAGGGGGTGGTGCTGGCTGTTCTCCCTCAGGCACGCATCTGTTGGCCCATGCCACACGGAATGGTGTTATGTGAAGGATAAAAGGAGTTTGCTGTCTGTGGATCTTGACTGGCACAGTCTGATGGGCATTTGCCTTGCCTGATTGAGAACTCCTAGGGGGAAGGCCAAGTCGGACTGTACCCAGCATACATGGGTGCTCAATAGGTAGTAGTGGTGTTGGTGCTGGGTCCCAAGTACCACCTCTCAGGGAAGGGCAGAAGAGGCTCCTAGGGTCTGGCCTTGGCTTTGGCAGACACATACTTGGTAAGGCAGATCCCTGGGCAGAGGCCCTCCTGGGAGAAAAAGGTAGCTGAAAACTGGGTGGGTAGGATCTGGGGCCATGCGAAACAAACCTCAAGTTGAGTCGGATTGCTGGGACCACTTCCTGCTTACTTCCCCTTTGTTATCAATGACATAGAGCCTGTAAGGAGCCTCCCTCACGTCCAGTGGAGGTCACTGCTCTGGGATTGTCAATGATAGTGGGCTGCCAGAGGCCATTGTGAGCAGAAGCTAGCGGGCAGGCCCATGGTGAGCTTTATCACACCCTCCCCCCACAGGGCACAGATGATCAGAGGCCCTCTCACCTGAGGCCAAGACCTGCATGGGTTTGATGGAGCCACCCCAGGGAGCTCCAAGAGAGATGAAGCCATCAATGAAGCGGTCCTTCCAGGATTGGGGCTGGTGCAGCAAGAAATGGAGCAGGTGCAGGCAGCCCAGACTGTGCCCAATGAGGAAGACAGGCTTCCCGTAAGTAGCATGCATCTCCTCCACAAGCCTGGCCAGATCACGGTAGTACTCCTCCTGCTGTTCTGCAGCGGGAGGCAGGTGCATCAGGACAGTGGGATTCCACAGCCACATGCCCAGCCCCCTGCCCAACACCCACAGACACTCACTGGGCCCCAGTCGCCAGTCATAGGGAGCAGCCCGCACTGTCTCATCACGCACGTAGCCATTGTTGACCAGATTCTGCACCAGAGTGTGCATGTAACCTATAGAGAAGGTAGCAGTGTTGGGGTCTCTGGCCAGGACCCCCACAGGCCACTCC